TGTCCTCTCCACTACCTTGTCTCTCTTGTCCAATGCTTGTGAACTTGCGTGACGCTGGCGATAAAGGATCTAATGGCAAGCGCACGAGGACGATGGCCTGCTGCCTCACTGTTTATGGAGATTATGCAGCTGGTTTGGCCACCATGCTGTTTCATTGGCCGACATCCCCGACTCGCGGACTTACTGGAGCAGCAACTTATGACATGGATCTTTGCATCCAGATCAGACCTCATTGCAGTTCGTGTACCGGACGCACCCTAGCACTTGGACATTGACACTTGAACTACTACTACGCTTCTTGGACTTCTACCTATCGCAGCTGTTGAAGACCGCTTCTACCACCTACTCCAAAGACCTGATCAAGTCCACTGCAGACCCCCTTTCAAGACACTTGGACACTTTGTTCCTACATGAGATTCTGCTTCCGACTCCTTCGGATACATCAGCCTTCGCACCCTGAACAAACATTTTCTGACTTTGACAACCCCGTAGAACAGCATTAGCAGATCCCTGTTTCCCCAACCATTGTTCCCCGTACCCACTAGAACATCAATAGACATCCCCTGTTCCCCTGACCATTGTTTCCCTTACCCACTACAACATCAATAGCAATACCCTGTTTTCCTGAACACCGTTTCCCTTACCCAGTAGAACATCAATAGAAGTTTCCCTATGCCCTGAACTCTGTTCCCCCTTAACCTATAGCGAACCATGAGTCCCCTTAGTTCATCAGTAGGACAACTCTGTTCACCGGTATCAAACTCTGTTCCCTCTCACTCCCGCAGCCCCTGCCACCCACATTATACCCCTCTTCCCTTTCGACTTGTTAACCAGTGATCGGCCCCATCCCGTCCTTCACAGATTTCAACATTGTTTCATGATTTTTGGCAGCCGGGACGTTGCCTTCTAGAGGGAGGGGATAGTGTTACGGACTTCGCCAGGGCTCGATCCCTGGTCTATCTTTTTGCTGTTTCAGCTGCATCCCGTTTTCGGCCTGGCACCCTTTTTCCAAACCCCTCCTTTGGTACCGTAGGATTTTGGACAACTGGCGCCATGCTGCAATTCGGGCGCCACTTTCAAATACTGCATTTTTCAGTTATGCCCTCGGGGCCTTTGCAGAAATGCCCCTAGTACCGTACGTGTCACCGGTACTTATACCGGCTCCCCGTATGGTACGGGGACCAGTCTCGTACCAGTTCTCTGCTGTTGTACTCGTACTCAGTGTGACTTGCTGTTTTCGGCATTCGCGAATCTAAGACTTCGACTTTGTGCCTTGCCACTGTGTCTGCGTCCGATCCTCAGTCCGAGTCCATCGTGTCGAGTGAGTGTGTGCTCTCACTCTCCCCCTCTCTCTCCTCTCCCTCGGCTCACCCTCAGCCTCACGCTCGTTACAGCCCTTGTACAAATTGGGGGACATCGTGCAGGTAAGGAAATGTGCTCGTCAGGGTAAGCTAGCGCCACGATTCTTCGGGCGATTCCACGTGATTGAGCTCGGGCCGAACGACGTGAATACCGTGCGGCTTGCGCCTGAAGTCTCCAACAGCCGATCGGCTCGACCGATCATCCGCCACGTGTTCTATCTACGTCCCCTCCCTTCTTCCCCATCTTCGCCTTCATCTGACTCCTCCTCCGCTACAGAAGAGGACGACGACTGTTTATCACCTATCTGTCCTTCTTCATCTCGTTCTTTCTCAGATACCTTGTCCCCGCCACTATCGCCATGAGCTTTTTCACGGAGCGAGCCCTCGGCGACCATCTCTTAACGCCACGGGGTTACATCTCGGCGATTCGGCAGGTGTGCCATCCACGACTCAATCGGGATCTTCTACGGCTAGCACAATTCTTCTGCACTTCGGGGGTGTATGCAGCGGGCGGTGGAGTTCCAATTCGTCGGCAGTCCGCAGGCGGTGATACTGGCAGAAGCGGTGGCTGTTCATTGGCGATTAGCTCCAGGAATCAGCCACGTGTCTACGGTCGTCGGTTTCAGCGGCGACATCAACACAGTCAATGCGCCCCGACATACATCCATCCGGACGCAGCTGAGGAAGTGGGCGCAACAACTGGCCGGGGAGTGAAACCGCTTTCTTACGCGCCCTGGGGAGAATCTTTTCCCCACGGACGACGTCGAGCTCGGAGGGATCCGAGCATTCCAGCACCAGCCAGTGGTGGTGCTGCCAGAACTCATCCCCTTCCAGCCTCCCCGATGAACCGCTCCCAACTCTCCACTTTTGCCCTCCCATCTCTTTTTCCCCCCTTCTGGCAATCTAGTCTCCACCCTCGTCTCTCCTTTCTCCTAGAGCCACTCGCAGTCCCCCTTCTCGATCCTGGCAGTTGAGACTTTGGCGTGAGCACTTCGTCGAGCTTTCGGTGTGCCTGGTCCGAGTACGAATCACGTGGGTAAGGGACGAAGACCATCGCGAGTGGAGCGAGTACTTGGAGTGGCTGATTACCGAGGCCTGGAGAACGGACGTGGAGGGCGATCTTCTTGGATTCCTGTTCGGATCGGTGCGGCCCAGCCATCGCCAGCCAATCATCCTAGAGCTTACGATCCCACTCGTGCAGCTAGCCGACGATCTTCCCCTAGAGATCGTCTCGCAAAGTGACGAGAGCCCGGTCCCGCACGTTCTCACGCGGACCTTGGCGCCATATCTTCAGTGGTCAGCGTGCTTGGAGGAGTCGGTGAACAACCTTAACCCGCCATCGCAGCGGGATTATCTGAGCCCACGAGAGATTATCGATCCCGCCTACTTCCGGGATCGAACGACCACCGAGGACGAGGCGATAGAGGCAGAAGAAGAAACAGCCGAAGAAGAAGAAGAAGAGGACGACGAGGAAGAAACTCCCGAAGAGGGGAGTTACAGCGAGCACAACGAAGGGGAGCAAAGCGAGGAGGAGGAGGAGGAAAAAGAACAAAGCCCGAAGGAGGAAGAAGAAGAAGATCAGGAGGAGCTAGAAGAGTCGGAGTGGGAAGGATTTGAGGAGGAGGTGCGTGCGGAGGCTCGAGCACAGGCCCAAGCGCAGAAGAGGGAGGAGATCGCGGCCGGAAAGCGACAACTAGGGTTTGCCAGCGCAGCAGGTCCGCCGACCATCGACGATACAGGGCGAGATCCAGAGCTGCCCAAGCCTGAACATGGGGACCCAGCTGCTGAGACTTCTGCCGCACCGGCAAGGCGGCGACGAAGTCGATCCCCCTCCCCCTCCACCACCGACCGTCCACCAGTTCGAGCCCGTACTGATGCGGGGCATCGGGCTTCGTCCCCGGTCGTTATCCCGCCGTCCCCTTGACCATCTCACCCTCCGCCAGGCTACTACCCGCGTCATCTTTCCCCGCAACCCCTTCCCCTTCGACACCTTCTGCTTCTTCTACGCCGCCCGTCTTATTGTCACAATCCATCCCCACCCTTCAACCCGATGCGCCCTCCCCGACTTCTACCTCCATATCCTTCTCCTGAGCGCCGCGTGGCGAGGCCACAATATGATCGAACTTTACTGCATGATTACGGGGACTATCCCCGCATGCAAAACTACGACCATTTTTGCGCGGCCCTCTTTCGCACCTTCACCACCCTATACCCAGACTACCTCGCTTCTCTCCCCCATAGTGGTAATCGCTTCCCCCGTTTCCACCGGATCGTTCGATATCAAGAACTTCCGGAAACGGTGGCGAGGTTGGATAGTTTCCTGCCCCCTCTCCCGATTAAACCTCCCGCTCGCCATGCTCTCATGTATCGTCTTCCCTTCCCTCTCCCCACTGGACACTGGTGATCGGTCTATTGGTGCGCGTGCCACTGCAATGACACGTGTAATCCCGTCCTTGAATTGTCAATGGCCCTTCCTGAGGAATTGGTAGTTAGAGCTATGTTTGCCACACTGGACGACGTCCACACTCATTCAAACGGTAAGTGGCACGAGAGGAAAAGTTCCACGTATCGATCGATTAGAGAGATCGACATGTGTCAAACAAGCAAGCAGGAGCTTGCTAATATTGGAACCCCCTGGGCGTCACATATGTGACGAACCACTTTCTGAGGCGCGTGATTTTCTGCGCGATTGCAATGAGGGGTCCTAAGCTGGGAAGGTTGGGCCAATTACGGGAGATCGGGATCGATGGGAAATTACATCAGTACCCTCGCTGCTTCGTCTTTTGCGTCGATTCTTTTCGGATGGTTGAGTTCGGAGCTGGGTGTGCCCCGGGACGGGCGATTGATTGATTGGCTGTGTGAGTGGCGCGCCGTCGTGCGTACGAATAATAAATGTTGGCGTCGTTTCTTTTGTTTCGGTTTTGGAATTTTGGGCGCGGACGTCGCGCGAGAATTTGTTTCGTTCTTTTTGAATTTTCTTTTGAATTCCTTTTCGAATCTTGTCGAGCCCCGATGGCTCTCGGAATTTCGGGTTTTTTTCGGAGTTTGTGCTTTTTGCTTTTTCCGCATTAGATAGGAATTTAGGAATTTTGCAATTAGGATTTTCCTTTGCCGCGCGGCGCTTTTTGCTTACGCGCTTCTTGGTGCGGCTGCAACGGAACTCAGATTAGTCGGCGCCTTTAATCATATATGTAACCATAATTTTGGGTGGGTGTCATTGTAACTGTATCTTTCTTCTTGTGTTTCCTTTCCCGCCCTTCTTCTCTTTTCTTTTGCTGCGTTTTTGATAGCCGCGGTCTGCATGATCGGATCGATGCGTAGAGAGCGGCTACGTCCCCCACGTCGCGATTGGGCCATGCAGAACGTAGGCGTTCCTTCTCTAATCTTCCTTCCAAGTCCTTGTAATTCCGTATTCTTCGTGCATGCATGCACACTATAAATTCCAGCTGCGCGATTAATTAGCTCTCTTAACCAGCTGTTGGAAGCTCGAGATTGCGCGATCAGAGAGGGTCGGCATACGAGCGAAGTAAGAGGTGAGTAGAGCAGGAGTCGGGCGACCCGACGAGCTGGTGCCAAACGCGGGGAGTTAACGTGGGCCACGACGGACTGTGGGCGTGGGCGAACTTAACGGGTGTGGGAGGACTAAGCGGGGTGACGACTTCGTGGGTTGGTGCACGACGACGGACTGTCCGCATCGGAGAGAGAGAGAGAGAGAGGAAGAGGGAGCTGAGAGGGAGCTGAGGTTGATGGACACGGATTTGCTGTCTCTTTATCTTTTTTCTCCCTCCCTGCTCGTGTATATAAATTTTGATTTCGGTTCAAGGCGATTTGCCCGTTTTCTGTTTTTCGGAATCTGGACTTGGGTTTTTGCTCACACTTGTCTTTGCGATTTCCATCTCAGRTATATTGTGTGTGTGTGTGTTGCTGAATGAATGAATGAATGGATGTTATGTTTGTTTGCTGATTCTTATGCCTGATCCTTGCCTTTGTCTCTCGCCTTGATGTACTCGTATGAAGGGTAGGAATTTTGCATAGTCATGAATGTTGTTTCCATTTTTGATTCAGCTATTGTGGTTGTTGCATTTTGCATGCTCAAAAATTACGGAGTGATTAGACGATCGAATGACTGTTGCTCGGCGAACGCCGTGCGAGGACGCGTGTAAACACGATCCGATCTGCGCATTTACACGTGTCCCCGTGCGTCGATTCGTCGACTTCAAAAAGGACTAGTGAGTGCAGGAATACTGCTTGATTGGATACGGCCGTTCAGGGTCTGCGATGGAGCAATCACCCCGTGCGAACATGCGTAAGCGCGACTCGATTCGTGCGGTCTGCACGTGCTCTTACGCGGTGATCGCAATCAGCAAAGACACACCCTTAGGAATTTCGTGGCTCTACGATGACACAATGACATGCTCTGGGAGCTCAGATTCATCATACGACCCGGAGTACTTCACCCCTTGGATTGACGAGTGCCTTCGACCGAGATTCCCCTGCCTAACCGAGAACCGACTGTGTCCTAGGGAGTTTCACTGTGCCATGACCAGAGACCCCCAGTGCTCCGATTTCCCCACTTCAGACCACACCCACTACTTCACCTCCCCCGGATTTGTCGTTATCTCCACTAGCTTCCCTCCTTTCCGTCTTCTTCTTCCGTATCACCAGCTCAGCGCCGTCCCGTGGAAGGCCATAGCCCCATACTGGCCCAGCACGACCTGCGAAAATTGTCGACGACGCAGCGACCCGAGAGCCCCGGAAGCCCGAAGGCCTAACCCGAGCGCGCGACGACCGGCGCCATGTGGCAACTTCCGACGGCCTGACTCATCTGGACCACACCCACCCCGGATGGACCTCTCGACGAACCACCGTCCTCAAAACAGATGGACCGCATGACCTTGAAAGACCTGCGCAGGCCATCCRCCTTATGACCAGAAGTGGTCCGCCCTCTCTGCCAAATTGCACCCGTGCCCCCGAACAACTCTGCCAGAGGAAATCTCAGTTCTGACCTGGGACTCCACCCCCACTTTCCCAAAAATCCTTGGCACACCCCTTTTCGCACTTCCAGGCCCACACTCTACTCCGATCAGGAAGTCGCGCTGGGCGTGAGGTTGGGGCGTCACTCTACTGTCTTTTGGTGAGTTGGTTCCTAGTCGATGCTGGCCGGAGCCGGGGCGGGTCGCTTTGCCCTGTGTCCTAGCAGGTGGGGGATTTCTAGGGTGGGTCGTGCCACTCTGTAACCTAGCAGTTGGAGGCATGAGGCCGGGTAGAGATTGGGCATCGGGATATAGGGGTGAGGCAGGTAGGGTTGGGCTGCTGAAAGGCTTTAAGGCAGGTGTTTTTTTCATTCAGAATGCTTCATTGATCAAAAGAGCTTTTGTGCTCTGTGTAGATGACACAGTTGTCTTTCCTAGCCGAAGCCGGGTAATGGTCCCGGTACCTCAAGGATTTCTCCATAAACTTCTCATTTTTTCAATGTGATCTTGGGAGCTATGGGTCACCACTCATCCGATTGGAGACCCCACCGGTCCCCTCCCGCTATGAACACCAGCAGTCTCTGCTAAATGGCACTTGGGGGGACCAACGGCATAGGTGGCGGGCGCCAAGCTTGCCCAGGAAGGTACATGAGGCCAATGGGGATTGAACCCAAGTTGAAGACCTCCTGAATGCCACTTGCGTGCCTTACCAAATGAGCTAGGCCGCTGGATCAATTTCGTAGAGCGCAAAAAAACGTATAAAACCCGGTGTCGCTCCACTAAGGGGCTCGCCACACAGCCTTTCGGTTGAAGGCATTTTCCGAAAGGTGTCAGACTTCATTCGAAAGGCTGCTCGTTGAAAGGAACCCCCCCCTTCGCCACACAGACTTTCGAAACGACGAGGCCTTTCGATATGCACATTAGGGCCTCGAGTGTGAATATTTGCGTAGAACATGGAAAGATACACCACCATGATTTTTGTCTTTTGTGCATGTCAAGAGTAGTGGAGCCACGCCCTTCTAATCGCCCCCTGTTTTTTTTTTTTTGCCAATAGGCCGTTTCGAGTGGGACTTTTCACAATACCACTCTTGGCCTTTTGAAGAAACGCTCATGACAGGCGAGAGAATCGTGCTCCTTCGAAACGACTGTCGACGCGGAACTATCTTACACCTTTCAAAGCTTTTTCTATGACACTTGTTTCGAAAGCCTATGTGGCGAAGATGCTGCGGTGATTTTGCATGTTTCGAAAGGCTGTGGCGAGCCCCTTACTATCTGCTCTACAAGTCTCTGATTCCTCAGTTCACTACAAAACACCCTTGCAGCACTACAAGACAGCAATTTGTCGGCCCAGACTCCAGGTGCGCCATACGATTTCACGGTAGAACACCGACCTCCTTCGACCACCCTTAGAGTAACGACTTTTGCAGGCTGGGAACTATACGGGATCGTATGGTGAATATGGGGGGCGCCATCTGACAACTATACGATGATTTCCAAAGGTACATTTCGGATAGTACGTGGAGTGGTGTCCCACTATCGAAATCGTACAGCAGATAATAGTGGAGCGAGACTAGATCTCTTCAAGGTCAGTTTAGGAAAAAAAAAGGAAAAAAAAAAAAAAAAAGGCAAAAGGGAAAACGATGCAATTCCTGGCAAACTTTTCGTGGACGTGGATCCCCACACACCCTCTTTCAAGCATTCGCCAAATATGTATGAGACCCGGGGCCAAGTTCCACTAGCAGTGTTGAGTTTCTTCAACACCGGAATCTGGGCGTGTTTGAGGAGATGTGCAGAAATGGCGTTGAGTTTCCTCAACCGCACATCCAGATTCAGGCGTTGAGGAAACTCAACGCTGCTAGTGGGACTTGGCCCCCGGCCTCAGGTACCAATTTATAAATCTTAAGCCTTGGGCACTGGGCCCTCTTTTAAAGGAAAAAATAAAAATAAAAATAAATAATAATGAAAAAAAAAATGAATATGAAATATGAAAATAGTGGATGTATTGGGACTCA